TGTGAAATCTTAAAATACCTTATTTCCGAAAAAAATTTTTTTTCGATTGAAACTTTCAATTACCGAAAACAAATGTTTAACTATGGAGAAAGCGAAATCGGTTATTTATCTCCTCCTTTAGACTTCCTCCAAATTACAAACAATAAAATAAAAATGTCAGCTCGCGAAATGATGACATTCATTCATTTTCTCTCTCTAATCATAGGTGACCTTGTCCCGAGATAAAACGAAGTTTGGCTCTTCTTCATAACGCTTTTAAAAATAGTCGCCATTTCGTTGGATGATAAATTACTTCATGAACTGAAATATTTGATTCAAGAGCACAATGAAGATTATATGAAATTATTTATAAAACTACTTAAGCCAAAGTTTCACTTTTTGACCCATAATTAAAAACTCAGGTCCTCTTAAGTATTTATGGAGCTATAGATATGACTCTAAGCATAGGGAAGCAAAAATTTATGCCAGAAATGTAACATCGCGTAAAAATATATCATATACTTTGAGTATAAAAGCTTCATTAAAATTTTGTGCTTTTCTTAAACAACACCATGATGGTCTGCCAAAACTAATCGAATATGAAAAAACTAACTTATTTAATATTGAATGTTCCGATTACTTTAAATCTTTAAAAAATATCGAAGAATTTATATCTCATTTAACTAATAGTTCAATAATAAACTGTGTAACTTATAAAGGCAGTATTTACAAAAAGGGCTATTTTCCCAGCAAAAAACACTATTACCACAGAAACGAAAGTGGAAACGAGCTAGGCGATGGGAATCGCTTACCGTTTCGCTTCAAGAAGGCCTTATTGTAACATGGGCATGTCATTGGAGGTAAGCCCTTACCCGCAGCATTACCTTCAAATGAAGGGAGAACGCATGGATAAACAGAATCCAGAGAAGCGAGCAAAGAATGCCTTACAGAGAAACTAATGTAGAATGCCTAGATAAGTACATACTTATTTATATTAAATTGAAATCAGAAAATGTCTTAAAAGGTTAAAATTAATTAAAATTTTTATAAATCAGCGTACATATGTATGTATTTAGGTATTTAGATTTTCTTTAAAATCGGTATGTACATACATGCATATTTAATTAAGCTTAAAATTGTACTTCCTCACTCTTGTACGTCACTTCATTGACTGACTTCAACTTCGCTGCAAATTGAGCAAAGCAAAACATGATTTTTATGCGAGACAAACTTCCACAGAAAGTAACGGTAGAAAAAGAATTTTTGGATATTCATTCCATTTTTCAGCTGACTACGATGCAGCATTCTACTTTGCATTCCCCGAAATGAAGCAAAGAAGCGAAACAAATAAAATATTGTAGGACATTCTACTTTGCATTCCCCGAAATGAAGCAAAGAAGCGAAACGAATAAAATATTGTAGGACATTCTACTTTGCATTACCTGAAATGACGCAAAGAAGCGAGACAAATAAAATATTGTAGGACATTCTACTTTGCATTCCCGGAAATTAAGCAAAGAAACGAATTAAAAAATAAATATTATAGGACATTCTACTTTGCATTCCCCGAAATGAAACGAAGAAGCGAGATAAATAAAATATTGTAGGACATTCTACTTTGCATTACTGGCAATGCCTAAAAGAAGCGAAAAAATTCGAAGGCATTATAACGCTATGCCTTCTAGAACACGTTACCACTAAAAGCGATTACC